CTACACGTCTACACTCTTGCCATGTCTAGCTGAAAGGAAAGAGCAATACTGGTCCTACATGAGTTTTTCCCCTTCCTACCATCCCTAGGGTCTAGCAGATCTCTCTGGACAGTCACCTGTCTTGGCTCTCCAGAAACACAAAGTACCACAGATAATATTTTGATGAAGCCAATAACAAAAGAAGTGGAAGGGTTTTTTTGGATGGGCTTATGATGCATTTTCCTGGGAAAAGAATATGGCTTAAGGAATTAGCTTTGGGGCAATGCAGCAAGGGCTTGCTTTAATGTTGAAACACAGAGTAATATTTGATGACAAATTATTGTTTCAAAAAGTGTCCAAGTGAACAACCATAACAGAGAAAGGAAGTTTAGAATGCGGTAAATCATGTTTCCTTTAAAACTGGCCATAGATAAACAGATAATGGTTCTAATATTTGTTTCATTGTCATTTGCGTTTAGCCTGTTTCCCTAAGGAAATGAGAATTATGTGATCATGCTCTCTGTGTGGGTTGGTCTCACTCTCTCTCTCTCCAGCACTCAGCATCAAATGACTTTTGAACCCACGGCCAGTTTCAAAAACATTTTTCAGAGGGTAGGAATCTGAAAAATAGTGACATTATCACTGTGTCATAAGAAATGGTGGTTAGGTAAAAGAGAATCATCTAAGTTAGTGCCCAGCTGAGGAAAAAGCAGGGAGAAGTCAGCCATTACATTCTGTTTGACAGCAGCGAATTGATCAGTGAATATGTGCGTCCCAGCCAGCCCATCAACACACACTATGCAACATATATTCTGTCTCTGTCTGCTGAAAGGTCATACGTGATGGGTAAGCTAGGGTTATTCTGATGGAGAAGCACACAAAATACAGCACAAAAATCCGCAGGAAACAGCATCAAACTAGATTGTATTGTTTGTTATTGCATTTCATATTTTAGCATCATTTTCTGTATCTTGGTGTTGATTTAAGAAACTTAAATATTGTAAAATGTGGTGGTAATCTTCTAAAACCATAATTTTCTTTAACAGGTCAATTATAATATTGATGAAAACCCAGAAAAAAAGATAGAGGAGTTATTCAGGAATTATGTGAACTGGATTGGCTGCAAGGTCTTTTCAGTGCAGTTTGATTTCTGAATAGTGACAGTAACAGAAGAGAATGAACATTCTTGTTCATTTTCAGTCTAAGTATAATATGGGCTGAAGAGGACTATTAAACACAATTGCTGAAATACAAGAACTTACCCTCCTTACCCTCCTGGAGCATTCTGGTAATACAATTTGAATATGCAGACTTTCAGGAACTGGAATCCGTTTATTCTTTACAAGCCAATGGCATAAGTCATTTGATAGTTACTCCGATACGTTCATTTTCTTTTTCACTTGAAACATACTTCAATATGATTCCAGCATAGACCAATATCATTCATCACCAGCAGGAACATTCTTCCATGAATGTCCTTTCACATAATGCTGACATGTAGGTTTGCTGGGTTCTGGGGTGGTGCCAGTCATCACTGCACAGGTAAGATCTTATCATATGTCCAGCTAGAATATGCTTTGATGATGAAAATAGTATAATTTGGTTTGTGTATTCATAGAATAATTTAGGTTAGAAGGGACACCTGGAGTTCCTCTGTTCCAACACGCTACTCAAAGCAGGGCCAATTTTGCAATTGCATAAAATTATCTTTAATGTCTTTTGGATGCTTGGAGGAAGCATGCAAAAGAGCAATTTTAAATAATAAAAGGAGAAAGGTTTCCTCTTCCAGTATTGCAGGAGCTTAGTGTTAGACTATGAGTCACCCCTTGGAGGAGTTTCTCACTGCACGGACTATAGGAAAAGCCAAGCTGACTGGCCTCCCAAGACTACAATCAGCCCTTGCTGTTTCTCAAGGGTGTAATATCTCTAAATCACAGTTTATCCAATTGCCCCCACCTGAATATGTCTGTGCGCCATGGTTGGTGTCTCAAACAATGTATGTATATACTCTTAAAATTTACATTATTACCAACTCCAAGAACTTCAGTCACTTCAGTCGTTCCTGGCATATAAACAGTTCTACCAAATATGGTCTTTTCATGGAAAATTTTTTTAAGCCCTGGAATTAATACTTTTTTAGTTTTATTGATCCATACCACATCACCTAGTGATCTAATCAACCTACAAACTGCAATGTGAATTCAATTGATATACTGCTGTGCTTGTATTAAAAAATTGTTTTATTATGTGCCCAGACCTAATTGTGAAATACTACTGATATTCAGCATAAATCTGACAATGGTGGGAATTTTATTAATTAATAAAAAAGGATTTTTTTCTCTGAGTAGCTTTTACATATGAATGCATTTGTACTGCTTCTAAAACGGATATATCAGATGACAGAACTTTCTTTTTTCAAACAGGCAAATGGTTTAACTATGGAATTATCTTCCTTGTTTTAATCTTGGATCTGAATATGTGGAAGAACCAAATATTTTACAAACCTCATGAATATGGTCAATATATCGGTCCCGGACAGAAGATCTACACAGTGAAGGACTCAGAAAGCTTGAAAGACCTTAATAGAACTAAGTTATCTTGGGAGTGGAGATCCAATAACACCAACCCATTGACCAACCGGACCTATGCCGAAGGAGACATGTTCTTGCACAGCAGATTCACAGGCTCTAGCCTTGATGTGAAATGCCTGGCTTTTATTCCAAGTTTGCTGGCTTTTGCTTTGTTTGGTTTCTTCATCTGGTTCTTTGGGCGATTTCAGAAAACTGACCAAGGCATGGAGAATTTAGACAAATCGTATACAAGAATGAAACGAAAGTCACCGTCAGATATGGGAATGACACGAGAAAATACACAGGTGTTAGTAGAAGAACCATTAAGTTTTCAAGAACCACATCTTGTATCCATAAAATCAGACTTAAGTGAAATAGTTTTTAATTCTTCTCTCCTAACTTCTGAAAACTTGAATGCACAACTGAATGAACAAGATAGCCCTTTACAGCCAGTACCAGAGTCCTCTGTCCCTAAGAGTAACCCTGTGACATAGAGGCAAATACCCAGGAAGATCAGTTTAAATAAGCAGTTACTATAAGATTTCCGTTTTAGCTTTTGTAAGTTAAGATTTACATAGTGTTTAGAATAAGAAACTCAACCTATACCAAAAGGTGCTCAGCATGCTTTTTCTAGGAATTTTCTTTTTTATTTGTATTATAGTACGTGCCTACTGTATATCTAACATTCCTTTATAGATTGCTTCCCAAAATTGCACAAGCTATTTATTAATACATTACCTTAACTGTATAATAGTGTATTAGATGATTACTTGCAGGTATAAAACTCTACCGTGGTGGTGCCTTGAGACATTAAACTGTTTTTTAACTCAACACCAGATGTATAGCACAGTTCTTCTAATCTATTTTGCAAAGCTTTTTGTATATGGTTATTTCAAGTATCATTTGATGTCTTGACAGAGGAGATGATAAATGTAGTTATTCCTAAAGAAGGGCTTCTGTTAGGACATCACAACTTGACTTTGTTATTTACTCATCTGTGAAGCCAGTGACTTTGATGCCCAGACTGCAGAGAAGCATGTTGATTACCTTTTCATTTTTGCTGGCTAGCTGCCAAACACAAATACAGATTCATTATGTGGTAAACAGCAGAGTGATAATACAGCATGGGTCACTACTTGTGAAAATATGACTTTCTCCATCAGTAATAGCAATTAGGTGATAATGCCTAATTATATTTTTCCTAATTAAAGATGAACTGCTCCTTGATTAAAAGTTTTGCCCTTCACCTTTTAGAAACAGAGGTGAAAATACACGGTCGAAGCAACTCTTTCCATCATCATGCCAAACCTATGCAATATCAAAGAGCCAATGGAGTGATTACAGTAAAGGGGACAAAGCCCGTTAAATCCGGTATTTGTGCGGTTCAGTGCAGATACGGTCTGGGCATATGTGAAACATACATAGAAACACACCACGTATAGACAATCGAACTCCAAATACTGAAGAAATATGTAGGGGTTTTAATTAAAATAGATTAATAATTGAATTTTGTTGTACCCTTTTTTTTCCTTCGTTCATTATCCATGAATAAGTGTAACCTGGAAGCAGAAACATAGAGAAACTGGGTTTTTTCCTTTTTGAAGGGGACTTTGTAATGTGAATTCCTCTGCTGTATGATCAAACTATATGCACTAGAGAAACTGCATATCTAAAACATCAGAAAGACTCTGATTTGCCTCTAATTTAGTTCTATAAATTGTTGTTACAAGTTACTAAATAATAAGTAATTTTTAAGTCTGAATTATCTCCCCGTCATTTACTGGTGTTGCTGTATTTTGTCTCTGTGACTTTTTTATCTCCATTGTTTTGATCTATCTGCTTTTAAGTTTTCGGAATGCTGAATTTAGCATGCATAATAGAACTATGCATTTATTAAATGTCACTTGAGAGCCAATTTTAATAAACATCATTCAACAATTGTTTATTATGAGGCAGGAACATATTCTATTAATTTTGCAATTTTTTTAGACATTTTACCCATGCATTGTCCTATTTAAAATCATAAATATTTCTGACACTAAAAAAGATGGGCAGTATCACAGTAATGTCAAAATCAAATATTTTGCTTATAGAACATGTAATATTTCATCAAGAGAAAGTTCACTTTATAATCAGACTAAATTTTTATCCATTAAAAATTATGACAAAAAAATAAATCTATTAGCTTTTGCCTACTGCAGCCTATAAAGTTATTTAATTGACTTAAGATGTAGTCAAAGACAAGCCACCAATTACTAATGGTAGAACACTGTGAGATCCTGCTTGTACTATATAAGAGGTGACTCTATTGATGTTTGACTTTCAAACAGCATTTGATTTCTTAAGTAGTTACAGAAATAGCTGATTAATTTTGCAGACACATGCGTCTCTGTATGTTTTGGACACTGTAAACCCAAGTACTGAAAACCTCCCGTTAACTCATTTCTCCTTTTTGTGCATGGGAGTGGTTACATCCATCAATATGTAGGCAGAAAATTAAAGAATTACTTGAGCCTTACAGCCTGCATGATTACATGGCTCTGAGAAAATTGTTATTAAGCAACTGATCCACAGCCAAAATAATTCTGTGACCTCACATTGAGTTAATGCTTTTAAGGTCATTATAAGCCTGCATGAAAGAGAGAAAAGCATCAAGTAATCCTAGATTTTGCATAAGTATTTAAATTAATGGTCAAGCAGAGAGACTGCTTATATCATGAATACATAAGAAATTAAAAGAGTCAGTGTAGCCACTCACCATGGTCAACTCGTCAGTTTAATTCAAGGAGTTGTGTGGGAGTCTTATTTGTAAACACAGGCACAGATGGGAGAAGAGAGGCGTATTTCCACTCTCCACTTCCAGTGCCTAGTTTGAGAAACCTGAGTTAGGTGGCTAGGCTTACCCTAAGCTCCTTCTGAGGCAGGCAGAGGGTTGTGAGCTGAACACCCTAAAAGTGTTCGCTGCATTAGTAAGTAGTGCAACTTAGGACAAAAGAGGACCCAGCGCCCACAGTTTGTGCATTCCAGGGTTTTACTGCAGTTCAGCTCTCATCTGGTCCTTATAAACTGAATACACAATAGTGGCTGGAGTAGATTTTGGATGCATCTCATTCATGTGCAGAGACCAATGCAATTTGAATTAGGGGAGAGCAAGTGAGCACAATCTAAACTGCATTCCTGAGCTGAGCTACTAATGCAGAGTCATCCTCAGTCTTCTCCTGAAACAACTTGTCTTCCTCTGTGGACTGTACGTGGGAGACTAGGTGGCCAAGTAGGAGGCCTAAAATTGGTTACCTGAAATGAAAATATTCCTCCTCCAAGCACATTCATTGTTCTCGTCTGTTGTTCATTATTAATATTCTGAAATGCTTCGCTAATCCAAACCGCTCTGAAATCCTTTCTAGTCTAGTACCCATCACTGGGACCTTGATATGAATGGTTGAACTTTTCTTGAAAGCCTAACTATTACACAAATTTTTTAGTCTTTTTTTTTGTTTTCCTGAAGAAGTTGAAGAATCCATAGAAGGGAAGAAACTTGAGGAAGTGTCAGTTTTTTCACACACTGCACAAGTCTCCATTCTGCCCTGTATAATAAACCATCTAGCAGCTGCCATCACTACAGGGCTGACCTGTGTCTGCTTTGTCAGAGATCAGATTTGGTACAGTAGTTCTTATTTTTTACCATAGGTACACTGTGCAGTGATGGATGATAGATACTGCCTAAAATAGCATACGTAGAAGAGACATCTCTTGGATAAGCACATAAGATTTATGAGCCCACAGGTGCCTATAAATTGCCTTAGCATCCTCAACAATTACCTTTGCTGAGATGGAAATGACATGGAGCAAATAGATGATAAGAATGTTCGTAGAAAGTACCTCAAATATAATATTCATGCTTATGAAAGTGTATATGTATGTCTAAAATCCAATTGTGTAAGACGTGTATGTGTATGTATGTTAGGAGCCTAGGGATTAGTTGATTCTGTTGACGGAAACTGCTGCATCTCTCAAGCAGACAATTCACTACTGCCCTCTTTATTCTACACCGCTCCATGAGTTACTTACTCCAGGTTGCTTCATCTCCTCTGCCTCCACTTCTATTGCCTAGAAAATAAAAAAAACCAAAAAATAACATTTAATTGCCCTAGCTGCTTCCCCAAATTATGGTGTTTAATTTATGCAGAAAGGACATTTGTTCTGTTTTAAAAGATATCTGTTCTCTCCAGCTAGTATCATCATACTCTGGGCTACTGCACTGTATTACAGTATGTGTTAAATTATTGCTTTTCCTGTGGAGAATAGCCTCCATCATGACAACCACCTGGAAATAAAGAGCAGACACCTCTCAAAGACTGGAAAGGCAGCAATTCAGATACTTACTAGACTGGCAAGCTCATTTTCCCACAAGTGAACAGGTTATGACTCACTAGTAAAAGATGTAACAGATTTTTAATATGCTGCCCTTAATTTTAACAACCTCCTAGGAGGGACTCAGTCGGGAGGACTTTTTATCTCAGGCCATAAAGTTGAAGTAGTTATGGTCCTGCAAGCAGAGTGTTTCGGCTTTTTAGGTTGCAGTTAAAAGTAACCAGCTTAAACTTTTAGCAGATTGCAAGAACCATAAAAATTAGACAGACCAAACTATGAATAAGAACATAAAGTTGATTCACTTGTAGCTGCCTGGTGCAGGATATAGACAAAACACACATTTATCAGATGTTAGAGTGACCCTGTGCTTGAGATTATGGACACTGACATGCATGTGTATAAATAAACTGTATTTATTAACAAACAGGTACAGTCCCTTTATCAACAGAGATGCCACTGCAAACACCAGACAGACCAGCTCTGCTGCCATACGGTCTCTCTCCTGTCCATCCATTCTAAGTCACAAAGGACAAAGGGGTTGTTCATTTCCCTGTGCACTCAAAACTGTCCCGTGGGGAGCCTGGGCTCCCTGAATGCGATGTGGCATGTCTTTGCGATGCCTCATAGACAAACTCCAAGTAGGACAACCAAGGACAGGCAAAAGAAGGAAGTCTGATCTCTGAGTTCCACAGCTTTGAGGTGAAGAAGAATGGCTTATGTGACCATTTCAGAGGCAAATCAATCTAAATGGAAGTCCTGTTTCATAGGAACACGAGGGGACAAATGGAGAGACAGCAAATCACTAGAAATCCTTTCCATCCCCTTCAGATATTCAAACAGAAGCAGCAAGTCCCTGTTCCCAAATGCTCACAAACAACTCTCAGCTTCCAGATGACTTCTGGTTGAGCAGCTCTTCTGGGTGACTAGATTTTAACACCGTCTTATTTCCCTCCTAACACTTCCTCTGCACTGGGGATGTCAGCGGCTTTTCACCGTTTGGGGAAAGAGGTAGTTTTCTGAATGGGAAGTAGGGAAGAAACTTAGGAAGGAGGAACCCCACATGGCTGGTACTCTCCACAGCAAACTCCTTATTGGAAAGCATGAATCCAGCTGCTTTGCAAAGAGGAGCGAAGTAGCATGAAATCCTTTCAGAAACACATGTTACAGCAGCAGCACAGTCACAGAGATACTTCTAATCTCATGCTTTTCCTTTGATGTATAGGAACTGGGGTCTGTGGAAGAGCAGCTTATCTGATTCCTGCAGGCAGGTTATAGACCTGGGTCTCATGCTGCTTTGTGACATCTGGAACACTTCTCTGCATATTGAATTCCTTTTTTCTCTTCCTTTTTTCTTCCCCCC